TTTTTTTCAGTTTTAAGTATTTTTTATGTTTAATTACATTTATATCAAAAATTGCTAGGAACTAAAGCGATTAAGGTAGATCTAGCTGTCCTTTACATTCATAAACGTTATATGTCAGCGGAACAAATGGAGTGAGCTTTGAGCGTTCCACGATTTTTCGAGACTGTCTATACGCGGGCTTCCTAAACAAGCCTATATGTATGTTTGTCCAAAAAAAAATTGGATGAAATACAAACCGCACAACTTCAAAATCGCATAAAAAAACTCTGCATAAAACGAGACCTTACAGTATCTATTATGCCAAATTTCATATGATGTAGCTACTATTTATAATTATTATTTACTCATAATTAATGTAACATTTCATCTCAGATATGATAATATTTTTAAAATAAAACTCAAAAGTTTACATTTATTTATGAATAAACACTTTCAAAATTTTTAATCCAATCTATTTTATTTAGCTATCTATAATATCACTTAACATATTAAATAATTTGTAAATAACTTACAGCAAAAGATGTATTTAATCATCATTTAGTAATATTTTGCCCTTTAACTAAGGCCTCTTTTAAACTAAAATCTCTAAATTTTAGAATTTAAAATATATTTTTTTAATAAAATTTTTAATGTATTTTATTTCAGAATCAATACTCTATTAAAACATTTTTTAAAAAGTGTATTTATAAAATTTATTTTGTTATTCACATTTTATATAAAATGATAAAATATGCTTTCTGCCTATACTAATATTTATGAAGAAAAATCAAACCGTTTCATTTATTATTTCACTTTTAATGCTGAAACAAAAATAAAAAACTATTGCAATCAAATAGAAAAATGATTAAGAGCTGGCTCAAATTATAAATAACCAAATGCAATTAGATTAATTACTAAAGTGTTATAATATTAATAAACAATAGTAGAGCATATAAATTTATATAAACATAAAATATAACAAAAGAGCAGTCTATAGAAATTAACTATGAGTACTATAAAATTTAATGTATATAATTATTTGTAATAAATAATAACTGTATTTTAATTTAAAATAAGAAGAATTTGTTGTCATGATAGGCATCTATTACAAAATAAATAAAAATTAAATAATAAATAGCTTACAGTTCTAATTTGGGACATTCCTTCTTCCCATGCAACAAGTTTTGCCCTATTTGATGCTAATTCTTCTCTTAACCTTTGAATTTCTGATAAATTTGATGTAGAATTAAAAGAATTAAATGTCATATTTGATACTAATGATGACGATTGACTTCCTATTCGACTTCCTGGTGACATATTTTGAGTTCCTGAATAATCATACATACTAGATGGAAAATGACTACCTGAATACTTGGCATTAAATGAACTAGAATGACCATAAAATGCAGCAGCAGCCTAATGAAAACAAAATAAAACACTAATTAAATGACAAAAATAGATAGGATTTACTTTTAAAAACTAAAATGTAAATAAAAGCATTTTAAAATTATTTTATGTCACTTAAATATTTTAAATTTATTGAAATAATAAATTTAGCAAATATTGTTTTTAATAAAAAAAATAGCATTCAATGTAAAAGTCTTTACATTTTTTGCACCATCAATTTTTATAGAAAATATAACTTTAATTACATGAAATTTTATAATCTTAAATATGTTTTAATACTTTTAATTCAGACTCAGGAACTAATTGATAAATATAAGAAAAATGTTAATTCAAATTACTTTTTAAAATTACTGTAATTAAATAATTAAAAAAATTATATATATTAATTACAGTTAATATTATATGCAATAATTTTTAAAAAATTCATCTTTTAACGTTTTCATCTAAACTAATATTATAAAGAGGTAATGTTTGTAAGTATGTAAGTTTGTATGCTGCAGGTAATCTCCGAAACTACTCATCCGATTTCAAAAATTCTTTCACCAATGTTTAGAATGGAACTTCAGGGTGGACATAGGCTGTATATTATTCCATTAAACATTCATATAAATTAAAATATATAATCTAGGTTAAGGCTTTTATGTCCAACAGATGGCGCTACAAGTACGATGCCCTAAGTTTGCTTTTCTGTGAAAATGAACTAAAGCAGATCATCTTCTATCTATTTATATAAGTAAAAATGTAATGTTCGTTTGTTCCTGCCGATTCCTTTTAAATTTTGACACAACGCTGCATTCAAATACGCACGTATTTTTATATAATATACGTGTCGAAATTCAACCCCACTGAAGGGAGATGGTTAGGATTAAGGCTTACTGTAAAGAACTCTGCTTCTATTTATACTATTTAGATGCAGGTTTTTGCGTTTTAATAGGGTACGTCAACAGAATGTACACTAAGAAGAAATTTTTCGAAAAATTCCCCCCCACGAGGGAAGTGTTATAAATTTATAATAGATACATTTTGAGCTACAACAACGCGTGGTGGGGTCTGCTAGTCTATTACATATAGATGAAAACATTCATAGAAAGAATTTTTCTGTTTGGTTATGAACTGGTGATGGTTAAGTTGGTGAGTGTTATATAATTAAATACCCAGTTTTTTGAAATACAGTATATTTCAATTTTTTTTTTTTTTTTGTTTTCTGCAAATCAAATTCGCATTCCAGGTTGATTCATTCCGTGCTAGAAGAAAAGATGATGATGATTCATGCTCCTTAACAATGTATATTGTGTAATTTTCTTTGAATAATTATTACCATAAAATATTTGAGTATTTTTTTCGGCATGGAATGCATTATCGTATATTACATTAATTTATATGGGAAAAATTTTTTCACTTAATGAATGTTTCACATTATGAGTAAAATTCTGGAATGAATTATGCTTGTTAAGAGAGGTTCCACTGTATGTTAATTATGTTGTAAAAATATTTTGATTGTCCATGTCCTTATCAACACAATGCTCTATATACTATCCTGCTTATGATGGATTGGCTTAAAAAATATTAAATATCCAAAGGACAGACTGGGCAACCCAAATTCAGATTATAATTCTAAATTAAATTACACAATCCTAAAATAAAATTGAGTTAATTATTGTTTTGAAGGATAACAACAGAAAATTTCAGAGAACAAATAGTAAATATTCTACAAATATTATAAACTTAAAAACTGAAGGTTTATCAGATTTTGCATTTTCTAGTAAACAAATTTTGTTTCTAAATCAGTAATGTCCATACACCAATAAAATGTAATGCATCTACATGACCTATATAATTCTCATGTTTATATGTATAAGCGATAGTAATTAAAGTAACTCTATTCAGCATGGTCTAGAGAGAGATAGCAATCTAAATGTAACCAGATCTGGTATGGTGACATTTTAGGACTCATGACAGACTTTTTCAAAAAAAACCTAGTACCAAACTTACCACTAAAACTTTTAGCACTGCAAGCAATGAAAAATCACTTTGTCTTGCTTAAGAACATGTGTTGTAGGCAAGTTATGACTGTAAAACTGGCCACAATTACTGGATAACTTCTAACAGGATAGTATAAACTCTAGTGGCATTAGAATAATTGTCCTTATTGTTTCTTACAATTTTAAAGATTGCATGGCTTCATTTATACACAAGGTTTATGTTGTATTTGGTTTGTCTTGTGTATTTTTCTTAATACCAGATAGTACAGTAGTCACCAATGAACTTAGACCAGGCTGCAGTTAACATGTCATCCAATAAATAGGTTTAAAAAAAAAGTAGCTTTGATTCATTGCATGAATGTTTTACATAATTAAATCAAATATATAGTAATTAATCTTTATTTTTGCTAAATATCAACTTGATATCTTGCAAGTTTAACAAAATTGAGCCAAACTTGAGTCACAGGCATCAAAAAACATAGACCACTGGCATCACTCCTGTCAATGAACATAGATCAGCCAATAGTTTGCATTTAAATAATGTTATAATTGCGGTAAAGAAATGGACTAATACAGCCTTTCTTGCTTAAGTTTTAGAAGAGGACTACATAGGTCATTGTTGAGCTTACGTAGAAGGAGTTGTAAATCCAGTTTCCTCTGCCATAATACAAAGATATCATTGACACACCTAGCATAAACCAACATAACATGCTGGTATTCTGGTAGTACTGCCTTTTCTAACTGACGGATGATGAGTTCACACAAAATTTCTGCAATTTTTAATCATATTTTTAATTTACTTAATTTTTAAAATTTAACATATATGTTCTCCACTTCAAATTAATAGTAGCTTGTCCCTATACATCATACTTTTCCTTTAACAATAGAGTCATGCCAATAATTTATTAACTGCTTTCAGTGAAAAAGTTTTGAATGGAAATAACGTGACTACCGGTTTGCATTGGAAGCTCATTAATTGGGGCCTCCAGCCCCTAAGGTTTCATATCTGGTCTTGTCTTTCATCTATCTAACTCTGTTCTCAAGATTAAGGAAAGATAAGGCTGGACAATGGTGGAAATTTATAAGTCTACAATTTTTTCAAATTGCTGCCCAATCACTGGGTGTGTATATTTTTTTTTCAGTCCTTTCACTTATATGGCCCTTATTTTTATTCTCTATATGTCCTTGATATCTTTGGGAATCAAAACATATAAAGAAAAAAAAAATGTGAAAACAAACGTGTAAAATAGATGAAAGATAACTTTTTTTTTAAAATTGTCATTATTAACTACAACATACACATAAATATATTTGAAATGCTATTATTTTGTAACTTAAAAGATTTCCAAATTGAAATATTTTTAGAAAATTAACACCAAAGAATGAACACACACACACTATGAAGTTTTACCTCCTGGCTGCCTATGGCTGTCCAACTCTCTGCTTGCTTTGTCCATTTGTTCACCAATATAGACTACTCAACAAAAATTTCAAAAATATGTAAACCTTCATCTGTATAATTCTGAGAGTTGATTTCATAACAAACTAAGTTTATATCTGTTTCAAAATGTACTTTCACACTCAAATTAATTGGAAAAATAGTTTTTATTCAAATCACAAACTTTCCTTTCAGATTTTCTCCATCAAAATTGAACAAAAAACAACATTCATATGCCAGAACAAAAAACATTTTTTCAAAATGTCAATCATCATGATTTTTAAAAAATATTTCACAGAAAATTGTTCTAATTCCATGGTTACATGATTTGCTTCATTCAATTGCCTCACTGGTTCCCAATATATACTATTCAAACCAAAAATTTAATGACAATTCAACTGCCATGAGGGGTCACAACCCACACTTGCTTTCCTCCCTTTGCTTAATTTCCTGTGTAAAAGGTGGCTCAAATCACCTTTTGCTTTGTTCAATTGAGTCCACTCTTGCTTTAGTCAATATAATACTCCAGTTTCTTTGTTCAAACTCAATCCCCCTTTACTTGTTTAAAAATTTTGTGATGATTCATAGATTCTGTGCTGCAATTTCTATTTTTCTTTCTTTTGTAATGAAAGAAAGTCATGTTGTAGCAATTTTAAGCTAAGTATTTTATATATTATATATGTATATATATGGTGTGGTTCCGCAAAGTTGAAAAGTAAAGATACAATACCTAATATCCATTCAAAATATTTCTATTTGACCAAATGTACACTACACTTTATTTACTGGTATATGCGTAGTTTTTCTACATAATTGCCACCACTGTCCAAACACTTGTTAAGTCTGGGTACTAGCTTCTGTATCCCAGAGTCACAGAATTCTACATTTGCTGCCAGAACCACATTTCAACTTCATTTTTGATCTCATTATTGTCATGGAAGTGTTATCCTGCAAGAAGTTTCTTCAAATAAAGAAACAAGTGGAAGTCGAAGGGGGCAAGGTCTGGGCTGTATAGCAAATGGTTGAAAACTTCCCATTTGAATTGTTTGAGAAGCATCACACCTTCACAAAGAGTGAACTCTAAGTCCACACTTCATAAAGCCGATCCTTGATATTTCCTCAAGAAACTTCAGAAATGATTTCATGCAATTCTCTTATTGTGAAATGCTGATTTGCACAAATTGCTTCCTCAGTTCTTTGTAGAAGTTCATCAGAGATCACAGACTACCTTCAATTCCTATGTTTATCATGAACATCAGTCATGCCACTAGAAAATGCACAGCAGTGATGCTGTGCATTCTCTGTGACATTATGAATTGACAAAATGTAAGAAAGTGGTTTCTTACATTTTGTCAATTCATAATGTTCCCATAAACAGAAAAAATTGTTTATGGATATCTGCTGGGTGTACACTTTTTGCATTGAGAAAATGTATGAAGGAGCACACTTCACATTTGGCAGAATTTTGAATCAGTGCAGCTATTGTAAACACATGCAACTCAACCAAGACTTAGCATAGCATTGATAAACAATCACAAAAAGAATGCAAAAAGTTTAAGGTCAATGTACTCACTAAAACATTAGCTTTCTGCTTATAAATGGTGTATTTACTTTTTGAATATACCTTGTATATATGTATATATGTGAATTATTCCCTGTTACAATAGTTTATTTATTCATTTTTTTTCAATAAGTATATATTAAGTCTGAAAATTTTTTATCAGGTTTAACTTTAAATTTCATTTCATTTTCACTGGTATGTTTTGTAAAATTTTACATTATAATTGTCATTTTTCATATAATAAAAATTGTAAGCCTATCTACATTTAATATATATTTCATTGTTGTTGTAGTAAGAATTATTTTCTCTTCAACAAATACAAAGATAAAGTTATCAATTTTTTCTAACAAAAATGCTCTGATTGGTAATCTTTTTAATATTCAACATCAAAAACAATTGATTTGGTTTATGCATATATTTTATTTGAAATTTTTTATTTTTTATTATTAAACAAAAATAATTGAGAAAAATTAAATAACCATTATAAAGATTAATGTATCTGATAAAATAAAACCAAAATATCAACTTTAGCTGGAATGAAGATAAAATTAAAAAAAAAAAATTGCACTTCTCATTAAAAATTTCTAATATGGTAATAGCAAAAATGTTAAAAAAAAAATGTATAGTACAGGTATCCCTTGAATTAATAGGATAATTTGATCCCTAAATGTTACTGTGTATATCAAAATAGCATTAATCAAATACAGTGGTACCTCGAAATTCAACCAAACAATCACAACCTACTAGAATAAATTTTCCATTAATAACAAATATTTTTATTTTAAGTTTGTCCTCTGTGAAAAAGGTTTATATGATAAAAATAAAATGAAAGTTTAGAGCTGCCTACTTTTGTTGGACAAAATTATACTCTATCCAGTTTGTTGTTTTCACTCAATCCATGCAGAACACAATCATGTTGGTGACAATGATTTGTTGCAAGTTCATGAGTTGTTTGTAGATTTTTAACAATTTCTTTTTGAAATTTCTCTTCATCAACAGCTTTTGGGCACCTGATATGTTTTGATCCTTTAGTTCAAAATTTCCTGAACAAAACTTTCAAAAACCACATTTGACACACCCAACATTTAGGAGCATCTGACCCATAGACACTATGAGTATTTTTTATTGTTTGTATAGAGTTATATTCTTTATGAAACTTAAAAAGCATACATAATATAACTAATATGTATTTTATCTGCAGACATTTTGATTTGATTTTAAGCAAACAAAATATGAAGTAAAGTTTCAAAATTATTTTCTAAACAAAGAATATAATACATATTAGAAGTAATGTATTAAAATTTCACACCTTATTTACTGAGAAAAAACATCTACGTTAAGTAAAGACAGCTGTAAGACCACGTTAATTAATTAAAACTTCTGTGACATGTATAAAAGGATTATTGCAATTAATTTTGCATGTTAATCAAATCCTACGTTAAGCAAGGGATACCTGTGTATACAAGCATTTCATGATTCATATGATTTACAAACATTTTCTATAATGAACATCATAGTGAACATACCCAACAGATTCTTCAGCTGTACATGATAACTGTCTAGTATGTTGAAATGAGACTTTTTAATGATAAATAAATAAATAAATAAAAAACTGACTTTGCAATCTTTTGAAAAAGTGGCAAGATCAATTATTTCATTATTAGACCTTCTCTATCTACCTCGTCTGTATCTGAAGCAATTTATGTATAAAATGTGGATTATAACAGATAATGAAACTATCAATAAATAAAAGTTTATTCACAATAAGTAATGCTTCAGAAAAGTTATTCGCAATAAGTAAAGCTTCAGGAAAGTTATTCACAATAAGTAAAGCTTCAGAAAAGTTATTCACAATTAAAGTAAAGCTTATTCACAATAAAATTAAAGTACACTACTATATAGGTAATTTAATTTGCTACTTTTTATTGTTTTATTTCTAGGAATGGATCTTATTTGTAAATTGAAAAGTATCTGTGGATTAATTAAATATCTATTTTGGAATTGTAATCCTTATAATTTATAAAAGAAAGAATAATTTTATAAAAATTTTGCAAATTTTAATTTTGTAAACATTTAAAAGATTTTTTTATATTAACTAGGGAATAAGTGAATATTCAAATTCCAAATTAAATATTTTTACACAAATACACCAGTAAGATAAATCATGCCTCAGAGTAATTAGTCTGTATGAGCAAACTGTATTATTTGTATTGTATATAAATGAATTTTTATCTATTTTAATTTAGCAGTAATTCATTTAGCATTCTGTTTTGCAAGACATTCCTTTCAACTGCACAAAAATGTAAATTAAAAACGTTTTCCACAAAGTTTGGGAAAAATTTATCTGTAATTTCTGTAACAATGTTTAAAAAATAATTAACATATAAAAATATCAAATAAAACTTGTTCATTTCAACATTAACTAATTAATTAAAATATTACATTTTAATTATTGAAATTTCTAAGAGATAATTTGGTCAATCTATTTGTAATTAAATCAACAAGAAAACACTGAATTGGACTATGTCCAATGCAAAGAATAATTAATAATTTTTAAATATTAATATTTATTTTATTTCAACAAAAATAAATAACAGTTTTTACATAATTATACTATTACATTGTAAATTTTATAAAGTTACCTTATCCATAGAATGTTCAGGATTATTTCCAACAGATGGTAATGTAAGTGAAGATGGTCCTAAGTGTAACATATGTGGTAAAGGTGAAGAAACAGGAGGTGAAAGATTACTTAATACTCTGTTATCACTTTGAGGAATATTCATTGGGGCTGAAGCTCCTAATAAACCTATTGTAAAATTATAAATTTAACAATTCAATAGCTTTATTAACTGAATAATATACATATGAATCATAATACAGGGTGTTCTGCTCAAAAGTTTCTGATTTTCATTTGCATTAAAAAATAAATAGTTTAAGATAAATAAAAGCAACAAATGGCATCTGGTTAAAATTTTAGAGTGTTTTTTTCTCATACTGCAAAATGGTGCAGAAGTCAAATTGTGAGCATTAGACTAGTCATAGCTTTGTCAAAGAAAGCACAAGTCATGGTCTGGTTTGCCCAATAGTGTGGCTGCCAAGATCTCCTAATCTGACTCCTTTAGATTTCTAAATGGGGTTATGTGAAAGATACGGTTTTGCAACTTCAGGATTTTCAGGAGCATATCATTGCAGCCATTGCCATTGTGAGATAGGACATGCTGCAGTGTACAAAGAAAGAAATTGCCTACCGTCTTGATGTTGCCACTGTGATTGCTGGTGAACAGAGAGAGATGTGTTTTTTCAATAAAATTTGGTGAGTTTTTCTCTCATATAAACACTTTGGTAAACTTATATTTTAGACTGTTAATTTTTTACAGCCAAATCAAATTGGGTACTTTTGAGAAGAACACCCTGTATGTATATAAATAAATGAATAAATTTATTTATATTTAATTTTATAATTTAGAAACACACAACACTGTATAAAATACAGTCGGACTTCCATACTACAATGTCCTTTGCAACAAACTTTTCTGTAAAATGTTGAAATATGTACATATTTTTTATTTGCTACTGGCACATTTTCCATTTAACAAATTCTTCATTTTCCCAGATAAAAAGAGGTTGTACAGGAGTCTGACTGTATTTATTTTTTGATAGTTTCTTAGAAATGATTATAACAAAATATATAGCTTTTAATATAAACTGATATGATTACATGTAGAGGGATGTTTCAGCCTTATGGAAATGATTTAAGAATTTTTACCTTTTCATTATACATGTGCTGTTTATCATCTGCTGAAAGTAGAATGATAAAGGATTATCTGCTAAGTGACTGACTAACTGTAGAAAACTATATGATAAGTACAGAGATGAAAGTTTTTCATAACTCTCAACAAAGTGTAAGTGTACCTGTCTGACACAAATAAAATTTAAGTAATATACTAAGAGCCAATGGATCAGAAACACTTTTCAACTTATGTCCTGTGAATGCAAGGAAAATTTCAGCAATGGCTACATATGGTCATTGCATGTTTCTATTATGGCAAACTAAAACTGTGAAAAATTGGTTCAAAGGTCAAAGTCATCTCTAGTTACTAAAAGAGTAAAGTACTGGAGCCCATGCTCAAGCACAAAATTCATTGTATGGTATGAAGTCTTCAAAGATATGGTTCCATTAGGACAAAGTATTAAGTCATATTTCACATTCAATCATAGTATTTCTAAATAAGATGGAGGAAGAAACTGGTATAAAGTAAATAACATTTTCAAACAGACCTGCTAAATCATCTAATGCAGCACCATGGATTTCTTTTGTGTCTGTGAGCTACTAATAGAGCCCTTGGAAATTGTCAACTCCAAACATTAGATGAGCATGGAAAACTTGCAATGATAAATGAGAGAAACTAAACAAAAATTCTCTGAGAAGAACCCTTTGGCAATGAAAAATTTGATGTCAGGCAATAGCCAAGAACAAGGAGAAGCAAATAGAGCATGTGGTGGAGGAAGGAATTTTCATAAATAACTAACAACTATTAATAAGGTTTCCATAAGCTGAAACAACTCTCTGTATAACCATATCAAAAAAGAAATACATTTTAAAATATTAAAAATATTTACCTGAACTAGATGTATTATTGATACTATTTGTTTCATTTTCTAAATCTCTATCTAATGATGCTTCAACATTGATTTCATCAAGATTAAGGTCATCTAATGCATTACCTAAAATTATTCAAGTTATTTTAAGAACTATTTTATATATTAGCTTATAATTAATAAAATTTCAATAATTTTACTTATTACATTTTATATTTACTAAACAATATGTTTATGATAACTCATTATAAGGAGTAGTCCAAAATATGTTTCCTAGGTCTGATAACAGGTGGTTTTTATTCAGAAAACCAAGTATATTATAGATAAGAAGAGGCATCCTCATTTTATTTCTTGATGTAGTTTCCATCATATTGGTGCACTTGCTGAATTGCTTCATCACGTTAAAGACACCTCTCTCATAAAAGTCTGTGCCCTACATAACAACAAAGTTTAAAATAGCTTCAACTTCTTTATTGCTGGTGAAATGCTGTCCTCCTAGTGCCTTCTTCAAAATGGGGAAGAAATGGAAGTTGATGGATGCAAGATCTGAACTATAAGAGGGTAGTTAAGATGCTCCCAACTGAAATTTGGTGATATGGAATGCTGTAGTTTTTGCTATGTTGTATCTCATATTGTAATCAAGGAAGATAATCTTCTCTTTTGTTTCTGTCAGATGGTTTAGCAAATGTGAGGGAGCTTGATATCAGTTAATATCAGAAATTTTCTGCATTACACTCTTTAATTGCAACTTATTTATAATTTAGGCATACTCAGATATGTTAAGCTGAATTAAGTTCTTGAATTTTAATGCATCCTCAAATGTTAGAGTTATAAGAACAGAAGCTACTAAATATATTAGTTTTCACAATAGAATATTAAGTTCATTGTCACATAATTTTCAGTTGTGTTGATAGACATAATAGTCACTAGACTTTTTTCTGCTTGAACGGTTAATGATCTGAACTATCTGAACAATGGCAAGTCCGCGACCTAACAATAAACACTATAGATAATTACATCTATAATATTTATTAGCAAAGTAAACAAGCAATTATTTATTGTGACATCGTCACAATGCCGAGTTGCATTTTTAATCATATTTTTAATTTATTTAATTGAAAATATAGGCTCTCCATCTCAAATTAGTACTGTAGTGTCTTGCCCCTGTATGTCGTACTTTCCTTTCACAATAGAGTTGTGCTGGTCATCTATTAACTGCTTTTAGCAGAAAGTTTTGAATTGAAATAATGTGACTTCTGGTTTCTAGTGGAAGTTCATTTATAGTTAATTGAGGTTTCCATGCTCAAATTAACTATACACAAACTCCTGTACCTAAGGCTTCCATATCTGGTCTTGTCTTTCATCTATTTAACTCCATTCTTGAAATTAAGGAAAGACAGACAGACAACAGTGGGAATTTATAGGTCTAGTTTTTTCATATTGCAGCCCAATCATGTAAAGTGTCTTAATTTGCACCTTATCAATGAGAGAACAATGCACAGCTTATGAAAAATCAGGCAGTATCATTAACACACAGCCTACTGTAATTACACAGGCAATTGAATTGCCAACAGAAAACATCACTTCAAATTTGATGAAAAACCATAGGAGGTCCTTTTATGATTTGACAAATGTACGCACGATTCTGTTAGTCATGCATATAGCTTTATTTGCAAAAATTATTTGCCTACTGGCAAGTGGAACCCTGATACTGCTAGACAGAGACTACTCTCTTTCTTATCTGGAGGCATGAATACATTCTTTTTCTTTTCTCTCTATTTGATTAAATTTTTCAAAAGATCTTTCCTTCAAACCTTTTTTTTTTGTAGATAGTTAATCTGCATCTCATTTGACTGGATCCTTGAATTGTCAGCAGAAATATATATGAATTATCCCCTCTGTCCAAGAAAATTTTTTTCACCTATGTCTGTGATTATAATTGTTTTAACATTGTTAACAGAGCTTGATTACCAAGATTGGATAAACAATCAAAAATGACTGGCATACATATAATTGGGTAGTTCATAGTCCCCTATGATATGATGTAACCATCTTTTTATCTTGTTTGATTCTCATACACTGTCAACATAATTCATTTAAATTCCTAGCCAGCTGGCCCATGCAAACTCTTTAGTGTTTTGTCAAAACCTACTGAGATTACTAATTAAAAATAACTACATAATATTAAAAGCCTTACAAATATATAACTATTGTATACATGCTTAAAATTATATTATTAAACATACAATACCAATCTTAATATTGAACATTACATTATTTCTATAAAAATCAATTAAAAATTTTTTCCCCAGTATTTTTAAAATTTTTCTTAATTAATTAAGACATAATTTGTACAAATAAATATAAGATATATATCTAATATATTTACATAATGATAAACTTAAGATTACACAGATTACATACACACACACAAGGATATAAGCTCTAATATGTTTAATCCATACATTATGGCCTTATCTCCCAATACACAGATTAAACAATATAATGGGATGAATTCAGAGATTTACTGAACAATTTTACATATTTGAAGAAAAGCATGTTTGTTTTTTTCTAATTACAACTAAAACATGAATATAAAATTTTACAACAAAAGAAATGCAAAAATTTAAAACTTATAAAACTTACCTACAACAGATTCTACTGTATCTGCGACAGGATAAAATAAATTTGCTAAAGATGACATGCTTTGTTTTATTGACTGTCCTGTTGTTAATAATCCAGGGCTTAGTCCATAAGATAAACAAACACTTTGTTTTCTTCTAGCTTTTTCTAAAGGATCTAGAGTTGTATCATTGTCTATTAATTGTAGCTGCCTTTGAATACTAGCCTGAAATCAAAAATAACTTATAAATTTCATTACAAAAAAGTTACAATTTCATTTAATGAATGATGATAAAATTTAAATTATAATTAGTATAACAAATTAACAAACTATTAATTTCAATAACCATAGATTAAGAATGAACTCATTTCTAGAAGCCAAAAATTATCTTTGAAAATGTTTTTAATAAAAAGACTGTCTCCACCTTCAAACTGTTAACTTAGATCAACATCATATATAAAAATACTGTATAAACAGCACTATAATAAAGCCAAACAAACACCAGATTACATTGGGCTACTTTTTCATAATTATAATTAATTAATTATTTAGTAATTAATTAAATATCAAATATAATCGTGGAAAAGTAGCCTGATGTAATCCGGTAGTTGATTGACTTTATTGTTGCATTAAACCTTCATGACTCAGATCATCTAAATATATAAAATTACTTGTCGTGACTGACTGATTGGGTGACTGNTTGTAATTTAAAATTTTTTAAAAATTTTGTATTCCTTAGATTTTTTAAAATTCTTAAATGTTCCATAAAATATACATTAAAATTACTGATTAACAAATTCAATTTTGATATTTTCTATGAAACTACCTAAAATAAGAAGGAGTTTTGATAGGATATTTCTATTAATAGCAAAGAGGAGTTAGAGTTTATCTAAAATTCCTTCATCAAAAAGATCATTTGTATTTGTATCAAAAAGATCAGCTTATATTTGTATTAGTAAAACAATAACAAGTAATATATTTTATAAAATATATTACTTATATATATTTTATAAAATTATTTTATAAAATATATTACATAAAACTTTTAGCATTATACAATCAGAACTGGTCATTGTAAAAATTTGTATCTAATTAAATGATGTTCAACAATATTTGTAATTTATTTGTTGTTGTATTCTATTCTGTTGATAATCTAAATATAGCTTGGAAAAAATTCTGGAAACACTAATCAATAATAATAAGTTTGCTAGATTTAGAAGGTTGATTACTTCATTATAAACTCAATTATTTCCAGAACATTTATTTTTCCATCATTTAAAAACAAACAAATTTTATAGTAGCAAACTAAGTTTGTCTCTTGTGTCCCACAAACAGAATTTTAAAATGTTTCAATAATTTATAGCTAATATTTGAGTTTTTAATTTAATAAAAAATTAAACTGTTTTCAGTCAAAAAAAAGTTGTAATTTACTGTTAGAATATGTATTTCATGTATATTTCTATACTTATTTAAAATGTTTTCTTTTCCAAATTATATTTTTATTACATTTTATTATTAAGATATTTATATTCTTTATTAGATACTTGTTTTTCACTTGTATTTTTAAATATTCTTATTTCTAGCTTTTATCTAGTTTTAGCTAATTCTAGATAGGTGGGATAAACCCACCTATCTAGAATTAGCTAAAACTAAATATCTAGAATTAGTTATGAATCCTTCTCCACTATTCTTCTTTGACTCTTATCACATCCTCATTTACATGGTAATCCATCATATCTTCTCTGATAGTTTTTAACCTTATCTTCCTTTGAGTCCTCTCCTGTACCCTCTTCATAGAAAACTTTCTTACAGACACCTGACTAAAGTCTTCATACAACATGATTACAATCATTTCTATACACAAGTCCTGGAGTTACACAACTCTCTATAACAGATCAACAATAAAACTACTTACTTATAATATAAATAAATGGGTCCAGGAAAGATTTACTTGATTTTTTTTAAATTGTTATGTTCCATTCTTAAACCAATCACATGTATTAGGAATGGCTTTATAGAATGTCTAAAACTCAAAAGGTTTTCAAAATTTGACAATAAAATATTCAAATCAAGGCATTAAGCCCTTTCTTTGATGAACAATTCTGGCAAAGAAAATTCTAATCATGGCATCACATGGATCTATCTACCTCTCATGACTCAAGTGTACATTTGAAATTTATCCATAAACATAAATCCAAAATATCCAAAAATTAAAACTGAATTGGTAGCCCATAAGCACTCATTACCTGACAACATAAAAAAAAAAAACAGCCAAATCAAAATGTCCATACAGCAGAATACATTACAACTCTACTGAACATGATCTAAAAGTAGCTGTTTTATATCAGAATGGATCCATTGAGGTCAACTGAATATAAGAATGTATTGCTGACAGTTTTTCGTAACAACTATTTGTAAAGAACCATCTAATGAGAGTAATAGATATATCCAGATAACAAACAGAAGTTCTGCTAAATCAATCTGCAGAGATACTTCCTGCATCATTGTTATTTCTGCCAAAGAAAAGCAAACATAGTTCTTATGACTGTTTTTGACTCCAAAAACCTGTTCTCTTTCTTGAAGTTAAAAGCCACCTTTAACCTAACCTTATGACTGAAACCTACATATTTGTGGATGCTTCAATCATAAAAAGTATGGTACTGGATTATAAACAAAATATATAGATTATGTTGATGAAATTTGATCCTCTGGCAAGAGAATAAAGTGTATAAAAAATTCACAGTGGAAATAAATAACAATGAATTAGAAGGATCTCTGTAGACTGATCAAATCAGCAGGACTTCTATTCATATCTGGACATATCTATTACTCTCATAATGATTGTTTACAAATGGCTGTTTACAGAAAACCATCAGCAGTATCCTCCTATATTTCACTCAACCTTAAGGAATCCATTCTAATATAAAATGGTTGCTTTTAGATTTTTGCTCAGGAAAGCTGTAGTATATTCCTTCACTACAGAGGACTTCTGAAAAGAATTAAAGATAGGCCTAGAAAATATCTGATAGTAGTACTATTTGCTTTCAGGTACTCTCTGGAACTAGAAAACAATCTGTTAAACAAGGGTTAAACAGAAAAATTCCAAACCATCTGAAAGAATAACTAGTTAGTTGGAAAAAGGCCCTTGTAATCAGTCTGTATTCAACTAAACTCAAGAAAGCATTTTAAGGATCAGAAAATGAAACTTAAGTACCACCCAGACATCTATTTTGTTGACCTGATAGGGGATGAGAAGGATAAAACCTCAAACAGCTTAAAACATGTATAAAATTACAATTACTATGAACAAAAAAAGAAAGGTAGAAATTGGTGTATAAGGAGCACATTCTGTACATTACAGGCAGAATGATAGAACATTGGAAAGATCTGATAAAGGGCAAAGTCACCACATCTTTGGTCAAGGAGCTGCTCACTGATAAACTGGCAGTATCACACTGGGCTGACACCAGAATTATTTTACAGGATTCCAGATACCTCCCTCTCAGAACTGCAGAGAAATTAACCATAGCCACAACAGATGGCCTTTACTGAACAAGAGGCTACTGATTTAAAACCCTCAATTTAACTAATGAAATCACCCCAGCAAAAGATAAATAGATGCCAAAGAGATATATTCGGATTAGTCTTTTCTTTTTTTTTATGTTTTAGTTGTTGGGTAATGGGTGCTTATGGGCAGCTGATTTGATTTGTTCAGTTTTTGATTTATATTTATGAATAAATTTCTAATGTATTGCACATCTGCACCATAAGAATAAGAGCAGGACTCAGATCCATGTGATGCTGTAAAAGTTATCTTTCTTTGTCAGAGTTGTTCATCAAAAATAGGGCTAATGCCTTGATTTTAATATTTTATCATCAAATTTGAAAATATTTTAAATTTATGAGTTTCTAAAACACTGTTCCTACTATGACATTTAATTGGTTTTAAGATTGAACAAACCATTCCAAAAAATATTTTACCAAGTAAAAAGCTTTCCTAAACCCCTTTATTTGTGTTATATGTGAGTAGTTTTGCTGTTAAAATAATTTTGCTTTTAATTCTATCATCTCCTTAACTGGCAGCATTCTATACTTTTCCTAATAATGTTGTTCCATACTCTTCCATCCGGCCAACTTCAATAATTTCAATATTCTCATCTTTAGTATGTATAACTTAATGTAATTTTGATCAATCCTCAGTTGCTCAGCTTCTAGAGCTACAAAATATTCTGATTTGATAACATCCTAATAGAATTTGTCTTCAAAATTCGATGTATCCACTTTATTAATAAGATTTCCTCCTTAATCCTGCATCAGTTCTATTGTTTACATCTTTATTGCACCATCTATTTCAATCACAGACTGCACACATTTAAACTTACCCTCCTCACTTTTGGATCATCTAGATTGATAACTTACTTTTTATCTCTTTTCCAAAAACAACACGCCATATATTCAGTATTTTTCCTGCTAACATCAAATCAATAATAAATTATGTAATTATATATTATAATATAAACTTTATAAACTGTTAATTTATAATTATAATAGCTACTTAACTTTATATATAATTATAGATAATATTTAATTATTATATTTGAAATGTATTTTTTATCTTAAAAATATTGAAATTTTTCAGATTGTAACTATTTTCTTAAAATAATTAGGCCTATTAGATAGATCATTTTATATGAATGAGACATTGATATATATATATACTATATTAATCACCATCTCAAGAAAATGTTTTTAAGAAATTAATTCTCAACCAGATTAATTATAAATCAATAATACATTTTGCAACTTTACATAGTAGTTTGGTTTCTGCATGATTGTTATGTTAATATTGTCAAAATTAATTTAAATTTTTTTATTTCATTTTAAAATTACTTAAAATTTATTGATATCCTTTTGAAATTATAAATATGCTGTGTATTTATATTTTAAGCATAATGTCAATATATCATTAATTTGTTCTTTTATCTTAAGAATAACCAAAAGAGCTCTTTATAGATAGCAGGCCATTTATTTACAGATAGAATACAATAATCTACAGCCCTTGGATGGCCTTGCATAATTAATATAAATAATTTAATTTGTAAAATTATTTGTCATTAGATTATTTTTTGAAAAATAACAAATTTAGAATTAACATTTATTACACAAAAAAAATCACCTCTTTATCTTCTCGTTCAGAACCAGGTGCTTTAGGATACTGAGGCAAAGAGTCACCTGAATGATTTGTTGATGAACTATATGAACGAGGACGACTTATTGGTGTTGGCAGTGGATGACTGGATGTTGAATAAATATCCATCTCTCTAGTATTCTAAATATAATATTTATTTTAAAAATTATACAAAGCTTGCACCTTTTTTTTTTACAGTACAAATATATATATTCAAAAATCAAACCTGTGAATTAGATACTGAATGCATATGATAATCTTGATTTGTTTGTTGTTGATCTTTATTTTGAGAATTATCTTTATTTGATTCCTGCAATTAATTAGAAAAATATATAAACATACATACTTATGATGGTAACATTAAATAAAATATGTAAAGCTCCAAACTTTTATTTTACACATCTTCCAATAGATTATAACAGGGGTGAGCAAGCAAGAATTCAGTGGGAGCCAAAATGTAGGTTTTGCAAAATGCATGGGAGCTGCAGTTCTGTACTTTTTTTATTCTGTACCGCAATTTTATTATATAATATAAACAAACTCTTCAAACCTATGTTCTCCCACTGTGTGACAAAAAAATGCAATAATAAGTAAATAGTTTGTTACTAACGTTTTTGAACTGAAAAAAGGTTCTTCTTCAGGTAACGTTGAATTTCTGATGTAATGACGATCGAAGAAAACAAAATTTGAAATTTGAACACGCGCTTCCTGATTACATCTTCTTAGGCATGTGTACTCAAAGTGATTGACGGTAATCATAGATTTTTGTTCATAAGCTCCTGCCATGCTATTGATAGAGTTATTTCTTCTTTTTGATTGATGCAGTTATTACTGCTAAGGATAGCTATGTATATGATGGCAGCCTCTAACCATCTGAGGTATTGTGCGTGCTGTGTGGTGCGGATAATTCTGGCCTGATTAAGATCCGGCTCTGTGTCTGTATCCGATGCGTAAATGGCCAGAGCCACATTTGCATTGCTTACAGAAGATGTGCATCTATATTTAACATCCTACATAACAGAAAGGATAAGCCTGACTGGGAAAATTTCTCGATGTAAACAACATCCCAATTAATTAAAGATCACAGAGGCGATAGAAACCTAGTCTATGTAGGCTCTACAAAATGCTCCTTAGGAGTTAGATTGAAAGAACACGCAGCTGATATACAGAATGAAAGGATCACCACTGCTCTGGCCATTTACGCATCGGATACAGACACAGAGCCGGATTTTAATCAGGCCAGAGTTATCCGCACCACAGCATGCACAACACCTCAGGTGGTTAGAGGCTACCATCATATATATAGCTAGCCTTAGCAGTAATAACTGCATCAATCAAAAAGAAGAAATAACTCTATCAATAGCATGGCAGGAGCTTATGAACAAAAATCTACGATTACCGTCAATCACTTTGAGTACACATGCCTAAGAAGACGTAATCAGGAAGTGCGTGTTCAAATTTCAAATTTTGTTTTCTTCTATCGTCATTACATCAGAAATTCAACGTTACCCGAAGAAGAACCTTTTTTCAGTTCAAAAACATTAATAATGAACTATTTATTTATTTTTGCATTTTTTTTTTGTCATAGTGGGAGAACACACACCAGTAACAGGTTTGAAGATTTTGTTAATACACTCAGGTGTTGAGTTAGTGATGTTTATATAATATAAATATACTATAAAACAAATATTGAATTTTTTTTATAAACATATTTTCACAAAATTGTAGAAATAAAATTGTAAAAATAATAATAAAAAAAAAGTAGAAATTAACACTTTCAGCAATAGCCGCATGTAACTCAAAAAGAGCCGCATTTGTCCACGTCTGGATTATAACATGTAAATTATACATAATCTAAACTTTAGCACAAATAAAACTAAAATTTAAGATTTTCTATAAAGTGAAATTTATAATGAATAATATTTTCTATAATTCTAATAGTAAAAACTAAATATTACATTTCTTGTTTATATTTTATTTTTGGAAGCTAATTTCTTAAGTTATGTAAATATTTGAAATGTAACAATAAATGTTTTTAACAAAAATTACAAAATAAAATATTTTTAATATTTTTCATATAAAACGCAATCAAAACTTATCAATTAAATTTTAGTTTATCATTTCAAAAATATTTATATTAAAATAATACTTACAGGAGATGACTGTGATTGAGAATATTCATTTGAATTGCTTGTAGAAACTACACTTGGTGGCAATGCACTTGATAAAATTGCTGCTAAATCTGTTGTATTATCAGGTCCTAAGTCTCGAATAGCAGAAATTTCTTCTGCAAGGTGTATAATTTTTTTTATTAAACACAAAATATTTTAATGAAAATAAAACTGAAATATGAATTTTTGAATAGATTATTTATAACTTAAGAACAATGAATATAATACAATGACACAATATATTAAAGTAATCGAAGATGAATTTAATTAAATTATTACAATTAATTCTATCTAATATACTTTATTTAGAAACATTCTTTTCTGTATTCATATCATGTGAGAAAAGATCTAGTTAAATTATTTATAAACATTATATTTACTACCTGAACTTATTTCACACATGCTTTATTTTTATTCTAATTTAATTACTTTTACATTAATTCTAATTATCAAGATTTTTGAAAGACTGTAACACTGCTCATCTTTAATATCAAATTTCATTGTAAATAAATTAAATATAAACTTAAAATTACCCATAAAATAATATAGCTCTTTGGTTTAGTAGGCCTATATATAATTATTCAAGACCTGTGTAGAGCCTGTTCTCATTAATGTAGTTTGATGAAATTTGGCATATACATTTATATGGACCATGGGAAAAATAAAAATGCAAAAAAATATTTACAGTAGTGTTGATTATCCAAATCAATTGGGGACTGGGGTTGTTCAGAAAATTGATTTTTTGGATAAATGATTATGTACAAAAAAATACATTATTAATATAGTATATTATTATATCCCAATAATAATATATTAATATATCCTATGTTCAAATTTTTCTCTGTTGCATGTCACTTTGTGTTGAATTTTCATCAATGTTAAGCCTAATGAAAATTTTTATAATAATAATAATGGCTATTGTATCGTTAAAAATTATTTCTTTATTTTGTACAAACAAAATAAATATATTAAAAAATATAAAAACAAAAAAAATTATACTTTAGAAGTTAATCTAGTATCAAAAACATTCGATTCAGCACAACACAGTTCAACTGGAACACTTTCGGTTAACCAAGGTTTTGGTTGATTTACATTCGAATAATTGACGCTCTACTGTAGTTCAAATTTCTACCACTAGGTGAAAAGATGGCGCATGCAGCAGATGCCATGCAAAATAGGAACCTTTTAAAAAGCCAGTAGTCAATGTCATTCTTTATCATGTCTTTACAGAAGAAAGATTGAGCTTTACTGGTAAAGTTGTTTTATCAGAATGGCAATAATGATTCGGCTGCACTGCAAGAATATCGATGCTTGAAAGGCTTGCAAATAGGAACTATGTCGACGTATGATTTGAGAAAGATGATTACCAAATTTGAAGAGCCTATAGAGTTGGGTGTATTGCCAGGTAGAGGTTGGAAAAGGATTTCAAATGAAACTGTGGAGCAAGTCGCCATTGCTGTGATTGACAGAGCAAATGCTTCTGAACATTCTTCAACAAGTGCTCGAACAGGGTCATGTGATCTTGTCTCTTCCTTGGTCTAAGATTCAAAAAATTGTGATCCATTTTACAGTGGTATCCGTACAAGATCCTCATGTTGCAAAAGCTGCACCCTCAAGATCCAGAACAATGCATAGAGTTTGTTTGCTGGTTTTTGGCCAGAATAGCTGTTGACAATGCATGGCCATGGAACATTTTGTGGTCAGATAAGGTGCATTTCTCCCTAGATGGAGCAGTGAATACTCGTAACTGTTGCATATGGGGTACTATAAGACCTGATGTTGTGCAGCCTCTGCACTCTGCTTACATCACTGTTAGGTGTGGTTTCACTTCTGACTTCATTCTTGGCCTCTTTTTCTTTGAGGAGATCACACCTCAAGGCCCTAAAAAGTGTTATGTGATAGATGCCTGTTACAGCAAACTTCTGCTGCATCACATCATTCCTGCAAGATGGGGCAACACCGCATATTGCTTGAGAAATGAAAGAACTACTTCATGACAAATTTGGAGATGATCAGGTAATTTCAAGAAGTTTACCAAATGCCTGGCCTCCTTGTTCTCTAGACTTGAATCCCTGTGACTTTTGGTTATACGGATATCTGAAAGATTGTGTCTATAGAGGAAGCATACGGACTCTGCCTGAATTGAAAGCAAGCATATCATACTGTGGTGATACACCAGTTGTTTGTATATACTTTTCTTAAGATTAAGTTTCCTCATTCTTTGATACACTTTCTCAAACTTTCTAACTGTCCTTCATCCCTGCTGGTGGTAAAACGTTTCTAAGAAAGTGAAAGGAAAAACAAGGCGTGTGGAAGAGAAGACCCCGAGGCAAAATTGTGGAAAAAGGAGAGACAGACTGGAGCTAGCATTGGGACAGGACAGAGGGTGAGAGGAGAGCCTGGTTGCTGTAACTAAGGACTGAGTGATTTAAGAGCAGAGAGCGAGACATAACGGAAAGGAAGAAGGGAAGGAAAATCGACGAAAGTTTTTTGTTTACATCGATGCTAGTGAAATCTGAAGAAAGGAAGGAAAATCAATGAAAGTTGTTTTTTTATCGATACTAGTGAAATCTGAAGAAAGTGAGGAAGGAAACACGGGTACCCTAACCAGCAGTCTTCTCTTGTTTTTTATATTCTTAATCTTAATATTCACTCTTCATTCTATTTCCTTATTTAGTATATAAGATAGGTTAAGGTAGGTTAAGATAGGGTTAAGTAAGGTTTTACATTGTCACGAATAACCGTTGCACTCTCTCATTCCAATAAAGTATATATTACGCAAGCTGTGTGTATTGGAGTTGGGATCTTTGAGAATTTTGTATAATTGCACGAAACGACAATAAAACTTTTATTGTAGACGACTTTCTTTGTGTTGTTCGTCCACGTGCTCTCCACAATACTATATTGTTGGAATTCCTCAACAAACCTATCGGGCTACTGTTGAACACACTGTAAGGCACTTTAAACATGTGATTGACGCAAATGGATTGCACATTGAACAAATGTTGTGAATAAAAACCTTTTGAATGTTTCTATTTTGTGTTTCTTATTCTTCATGCACCATTTTTTTCACATAGTGACAGAAATTTGAACTAAGAATTTTTTTGCATTTTCCCCCCATGGCCCATATAACATATATACCAAGTTTCATTAAAATATGTCAACAAGAATGGGCTCTATACAGGTCTGAGTAGGGCAACTTTATAACCACCCTGTAATTACTTAATTATTCAGAAAAAACAGACAGAAAAATAAATTAATTAAAATATAAATTTATAATTTCTGCATACCTTGTGCATACCTTTATGCAACAAGTCCCTACTTGATGTTAAGTGGGGACTTGTTGCATGTGACTTGTTGCATCAAGTGGGGACTTGTTGCATGTGTATGTGTACAGTAGAATCTTGTTTTTGTTATTGTAAATAATTACATTTAATAAAAGATCATAATATCCAATAAACTAGAATTATATCTTTATTTCATATATTTTGAATTTAGAGAAAATAAAAATTAAAAATTTATATTGTAAATTAAATTAACAATTAAATAACAACACTTACTATCTACATGAGCAAATGCACAAAAAGGTCCACGTGGACAATAACCATTTTGAAGTATATCATTACATTTAGTTGATTTATAAATCTGAAAATAAAGTATTTATAAAATAAAAAACATTAATATGAAAAAATGTAAATTTATTGTTAGAAAATATATAAATACTAAGAAATTAATTAGACAGCTTCTATTTATATTAGGAAAAGTCTTCTTACAATCAGGAAAACTAGTTGATAAAATCAGCAAATTATCAATTATTTTATTCTTTTAATGATGTAATATGATACTCTTAGTTTCAGTGTTATTAATACACCATATTTAGTAACTAGACAAAAACCAAAAACACATTCAATTCAGGGAGGGATCATTATAACAGTGGTCTAAGCCACTAAAAAAAACCCAGCTTGTTGGTGTTGGTTGATTGTATTTGGGATTTTGTGGCACAAGGGCCTAGTAGAGCAAAAAGTGCCAGGTCTAGTCAGTTATGTTGTTATATGCCCTCATGAGTCTTTTAATATGTCATTGTTCTGTTGTATGTCCTAGAGTTCTGTATGTAAGTTTACTGCCTTCAGATATGCCAGTATAGATTGAATTTATCCATTCTCAACTAGTATATTCCTAAAATTTGGTCATATAAAAATATTTGTTGTTGAAGGTAGCACTCTCTGGCTGTTTTGTACTGAGGGGATGTTAAAAAAGAGCTTGTTAAATTTTACATTTATGTTTTTCTTTTAATTTAAAAAGTGCTATTTTATTGATAATGATGTACTATGTAATTCTTTCTTTACTTAAATGCAATGTTACATAGTCTGTTGTTAAGTAGATTTAAGTATATAATTTTTATGAAAATACTGCAACAGTATTTCTTGGTTAAACTATTGTTGCACTGAAAATTTATTTGCATAAGAAAGTAAATAAAGTTACTTGAATAAATGTTGGACTAAATAATTTTTCAATAAATTCATAATCAAAACAGTGTTCTACAAGTTCTAGTAAATTGGTTTAAATTGTTTTAATGATTATACATACTATACATCAGGGGTGGCCAACAAGTCGATTGCAAGCCAATTTTGGTCAATCACTTGCGATATCTTGAATTAATGTGTTACACTTGTAACCAAATGCAATGTGCAAACACAACTGTAGTGATATCGGACCTCCACGTTCTCCCTCAGATGCGGTTTTGTTGGTCCATGTGCAATCCATTTGTGTACAGTTGTAAAAGGGGAATAAGAAATGTAGACAAAGGGTTGTAAAACTAAAAAATGAAAGGCAGGAAGAGGGATAGAGAGAGTAGGTCAGGAGTCGGGACACGTTACAGAGAGAGAGGAAGGGTGAAATGGTGGTCCCCGAAAGTGACAACGTTGAGTTTCAATTTTTATTCTGTTTAAAATGTAAGTACCTTTACTTCATGTTTTAAATTAAATTGTGGCTTTTCTTACCTATCTAAACATAGTATGTATTTCACACCTCCCCTCGCCACTTAGACTATGCCTACGACAACAAGTCGATCACAACACATTTTTAAGATAAAAAGTAGATTTTCTGTACACAAAAGTTGGCCATCCCTGCTATACATAGTCAAAAATGCCAAAGAGGTCATCCTTATTTATCTACCTTATTTACTCTCTGTCTGACTTTCCTCCAGGACTGTGGAGTCGGAGTCAGGAGGAATTTCTGGCTAGAGGAATCGCAGTCAGAAAAAAATGTGTCGACTCTAATTCCTGCATTTTAAATTTACTTTAGTTTTTTTATTTAAATGAAAGAAAATTAATTATATATTTATTAAATTTTTAAATCTTTTTGTATTTTGTAATTCATTTATTTTAAATACAAAACGCATCATGAACACTATATATTTATTAAATATATAGTGTTCTTTGTAGTATTTGTGTTTAGTAGTTAAATTATTTTGACCCAACTGAATTAGAATATTTTTGAATTGTTCCTTTATTATCCCTGCTCTAAATAAATAAATAAATAAATAAATAAATACTCTATTTTTCTAAATGAGCCAGACTAATTGATCAGAGTACATATTTTTCTTTTCTGAACAAAGGGCTGAAGTAGCTAGATCGCACACTTTTTAGTTGGACTAACTCTTCTGAAAGGAGATGAGTGTTTTTTTACCAATTCTGCAGCCCTGCTTTCCTCAAAGCTATTTTGAGAAATAAGGCTGTTGTAAAATAAATAGTGGATGAGGGTACATATTTCAAAAAGGACATTATTATCCTTAACTTTCCTTTAATTTATTAACCTTGGCTTAGAATATTTTGGGATGATAATAGCATTTTTTAGATCAAATGTATGTTTATCCTCTCTCTTCTGTCCTTTAACAAGATTTACATAATTACTTGACTAAATCTGAATTAGAATATTTAACACAATATTTCCAAGGATGTTCAACAAAAAAGAGCTTCAATACTGAAATGCAACTGGATTCTTATTCTCAGCGAATTTAAGATTAATTATTTTGTTGTCAATTAAAGGTGCTTACAAAATCAACCTGTCGCATTTCAGTTAAATCTTTTTTGATCTATCTTACAATTTTTTTATAAGTATTATCCATTCAGCACAAGTTAAATATATTTTTGCACACTTTTTTCTTTTCTATTATTCCAAAATCCCTATCATATGGTAAATAACTATGATCATAAACTAGGTACTTGAGTTTTATTTCTTTAACAAAGTTTTTGTGAATAGTTTGCAAACAAAAACTCACTAATGACTTCCCCCAAAACAAAAATATCAGTTATCAGAATATGGTTCTAGGTTAATAACCATATTCTGATAACCAGGTTTTTACACAGGAGGGTTATTGTCTGATGGATAACAATCCACCAGACAATAACCCTCCTGTGTAAAAACCTCTTGGATATTAAACCTTCAGAGAATAAGCCCGAATTTTAAATGTCAGTCAAATGAAATATATGCTAATTATCATTTTTCAGCAGAAAAACATCAATAGTTAAATAATATTAAATATCCTGTTAAAAATTTTGAGTTTGGCAATTAACTATTTTATGTAATACTTAATGCACTGTCAATGAAATGTTTTAAGACTCTCAAATCTTTGGGCAAAGCACCCAAACTGTTTAGTGCATCATCCTGCTTACTCCTTTATCTGACTCACAACAGGTTTGAAACAACAAACAATAAAAAATCTAAAATGAAACATGTGTTAAAAAACACCTTATAGTTATTTTATAAACCATAAAAACAAATATAAACAACTATGGCAAATGTATGTATTATTAATCAAGACTATGCAAATCAGACACAAAGTTTACAATCCAAGTAAGTTGAAGCTTTCTTCATGCCATGTGGATATAGTGTCCAAGTAAATAATGCACAATCTATAATCACAAAATGTTGTAAATGATGGAAACCAAATTATGCTATAAAGATGTGAAATATGTATCAAAAATCCAAAGATGAATTACCAAACACAAATACTTCAGTGGAAGGATGGCACAAAGGTTTTCAGTCCAACATTGAAATTTTCCATCCCACCATTTGGAAATTCATTAGATTTCTTCAAAGAGAACAAGCATTACACAAGTTTATTCCAATCAAATTCTGGCTAGTCATCTGTCACAAGTTCCAAGAAAGAAATATGCTGACTCAAACGCATGGATTCTTACTATTGTTTGCAGCTACCGTGATCACAGCATTATGGACTTTCTACATGGGATAGCACAGTCTCTCTCTCTCTCTCTCTCTCTCTCTCTCTCTAACTAATAATATGTATGTAATAATAACACTAAATTTTAACTTTTATCAAGAACTGCAATATTTCAACTACAAATGACTTAATTGATAATCATCCATCATACCAACACTACTGGTGTGAAAATTCAATAAAATAAATACGTAATTACCGAAAAACCAGTAATAATTCACTTCCAAAAAAACGTTTTCAATGGTCATCATCAAATTCGATTCCAAGAGTTCAAAAAAATTGAATCTTGAAGTTATGCGCATGCCCGATGTAGAGCCTTTAACAAAATTAGTCCTGTAACTGGTTTCCTGTTTTAAAAATTTTGACGTTTATATAAATATGTAAGCACACATGATGTATACCTATTATACATCAAAATATGCTCTCCATGTAGTCACCAATGAGTCCGTTTCCTTGAAACTGATGGCTGTTCCCTTATTGAACTCTTTAAATATTTCTAGCTGTTCAAGATATTTCAGGCTGGCCTGGTGCTCACACCATTGTATTAATCATGCATTATCAAAGTCCACCCTTATGTCATCATCTAGAGCAAAAGAAGCCAATGCCATAGTGGAAAGGTATTTTTCAATTGTGTATTTGTGTTCCTTGATTGAATTGAGTATTTGTGTTCCTTAATTTAATCCTTGTTTTAAGGCAACATGCGATAGCACCAATATATTTGCCCAGACAATTCACCCTGTGATCGTAAATACGGATAGAATATATTCCTGGGATACAATTCTGCTCAAATTAGTCCTTGTCGTTTCTTAAACAAAAGAAAATGATCGGAGATCGCCTGTACACGATCGTTTTACTCGTATAATGAGCTATTTGTTTGTAGGTGTTGGGAAGGATCCTGTTGTAAGTAATAGGAACAAAGGACAGGTTTCCTGGAAGTGCCATATCCATAGGTTTTTTGTGGTGTGCTACTAGCTCATTAATTAGGTGCATAGGGTAACCACGCAGCTAGCTACACTTGAAATAGATTCCAGCTCCATTTTCCTATCCTCTGCTCTCTAACAATGAGTGAAAGCCCTTCTTATTAGGGTCTTAAAAGCAGAGACCTCGAAACCAAGAGGATCATGTGATTTGGCATGTATAAAAAGCGGAGCATACAAACTCATATGCTCCCACAAAAAGCACAACAGTTTCAATCCAATGTCAAGATGATGATAATTGTTTTTTCGATTTCATTGGATTTGTACACTTTGAAATTTTGCCTTAAGGTCAAACAGTCAACCGTCAGTACTACACGTGTTTTGAAGCAATTGTGTGAAAAAATTTGCCAAAAAAAACCAGAGTTGTGGCAAGACAACTCATGTTCCTTCACCATGACAACACACCTGCTCACTCAGCTTTGTCAATTTGCCAGTTTTTATGCCAAAAATCAAACAACTGTACTCACCAGACCTGGCTTCTTATGATTTTTTTCTTGTTTTCAAAATTAAAATCAGTGTTAAAAGGATGCTGTTTTGACATAATGACATCAAAACAAATTTGTCACAAGTACTAAAGGACATTCTGAAACAAGCGTACCAGGACTGCTTTGCAAAATGGAAACACTGCTGGGATAAGTATGTGAATAGAGGAGAGGAGTATTTTGAAGGGGACAAGGACCAATAACCTGTAACTTGAAAAAAAAATTGAAAAAAAAAATTAAATTCGGTTATTTTTTGATCAGAATTGTAATTGCTCATTTTGATTTTTTTTCATTTCATTTTCATTTGAACTGTCTTTCTTTTAGTTATTGTATTTCATACAGGTGGATCAATAATAAGTTTCTGTTCATTGTAATAAAAGAGATCTAATCTGTTATTTTAAACATAAAATAAATTAATTACAAAAGACAATAATCCAATGAACAAAAACACGAGAGAGGTAGGTATGTATATTTTCATTTTAACTAATAAAGAAATTTTATTTTAAAATTTCCTTATTAGTTAAAATGAAAATATAAATGTTTTTAGTATTAAATTACTATATAACTTTAAATTTTACTGATCCACAGGGCAATGCAGGCTGGAACTCAAGCTTCTGGTAGGGACACCCATGCCAGTAAGGTCTATGGAGAGAAGTGAAGCTAAGAGTGACCACACCCACATTATGTGGAGATATTTATCATGGTAGTAACCAGATCTAAGCATGATACTGACTTGGGACATTGCTCAGGTTAACAAGATCTGCACTTGTGGGTTAGGCAGAGGCTCATGTTTGAAAAATAGACCACAGTCTCCCTTGATTACTGGTGGCGAAAGCAGCGCCAGTCCAAGCATGGCTACTGCAATGCCCTCAACAGATGTGAGGAATCAACCTAGCCTTGGTGTTTCTGTGGCAATGCATCCACAAACCAGAAAGGCAGGAAAACCAACCCAACAGATAAAATGGACAATAGAAATGAACAAGTTTATCATCTGTACTTACTACATCATCACAAGACTCGAAACAAACATGACAGCATACAGACAACAACTACACCATAGATTCACACAATATCCTCACCTCACTGTCACCAAACAAAGGGTTGTTGATAAAAAAAAGAAAAATTATACACAAAAACCTTATTCCACAAACAACACTTGAACTTATCAAACAACAGGTTGCTGATCAAATACATCAACAGACAGAAACATTTAACATTAATGAAGATCACGTAACCTGTCAGGATGATCCAGTAACAAGCACTGATTACAGCACACACACAACAAGTACCACTAATGATACTGCAGGCACCTCATTTCAGGAAACACTCATTAAATATACAGGCACAGATCCCACACCAACACCATGAATACCAAAAATCAACATGTCAAAGGTAGTAGGAATAAACACTAAATTATGTAAAAACTTACTTACTACAACACTACATTCATTCAATTTCTACACTCTCAGACATTCATGCATTAGTTTATGCTGGAGCAGTCACAGTAGTGACACAACATAGACTGAAAATACAATCACAGACAGATACACACAAAACACAATTCTATCACAAGCCTGCCTGGCAGAGAAGAATAGAAACACAAATAAATGACATTAGACAGCAATTAGGCAAGCTGACACAATACACTAAAAACAACATAACACCCAAATTAATGAAACAACTCAAAAACATTTTCAAGAAAATCAAAACACACACAAAACATGAACATCACAACACACACATTACAGAATACATTGATACACTAAAACAGAAACTTGCAGCCAAAGCACATAGACTCAAACAATACAAAACATGTACACTACAAAAACAACAAAATAAATTATTTACAAACAATGAAAAACTGTTACAGACAAATTAGTAGCAAAACAAATGCTGATACACAGCACAGTGGCACACCAATAGAAGAACTCACAACATATTGGTCTTCTCTTTGGTCTAGTGCTGTTACACACAATGCTAATGCAGGCTGGATCGAGGAGAACAGAAACTTGTACAACATACCAACTATGCCCTGTGCTGAAATAAACATACACGATGTCCAATACACTGTTAACAGAACACATAACTGGAAGACACCTGGTGTTGACAACATTCACAATTTCTGGTACAAAAAGTTTACATCACTGCATCAGGAACTAGCTAAACACCTAACACACATCATTATCAATCCACAAGACATGCCAAATCATCCTGTATTACAAACAAAATATACAAACATGTTGAAGAACACAACATTCTTACGGAACAACAAAAAGGTTGCCATAGAAATCACAGGGGATGCAAAGAACAGTAACTCATAGATTCAGTCATTCTACAGCAAGCACACAAACAACACAGAAACATACACATGGCATATAGAGACTACAGAAAAGCATTCGACAGTGTTCCACACAGTTGGCTGCTACATATTCTACACATGTACAAAATACATCCATCACTCATTGCATTCTTCCAAAACACTATGCAGCACTGAAGAACAACACTACATCTCAGGGTTCATAACACTTCCATACAAACAAACGAAATATTTATTAGGCAAGCAATTTTTCAAGGAGATTCCTTGAGTCCTCTCTGGTTCTGCCTACCTTTAAACCCATTATCCAACATGTTAAACAACACACAATATGACTACAATATCAGACATGAAAAAACAACACAGTTTACGCTGTCACATCTCATGTACATGGACGACATAAAACTTTATGCATCCATACAAAAGAAACTTCATCAACTCCTAGAAATCACACATTCATACACCAAGGACATACAAATGGANGTGTTTCCAATCGAATTGCCCCTCTGTGGGGCATTGGGCCACAGGGTGGCAATTGGATTGTAAAGAGGGCAATTCGAAAATGGACTTGTCCAGAGTTTAAGTTAACTGTATATGTTAGGGAGGCATAAGAATTTTAGAAAGGCTTAGGTGGGGCATAGCACAAAAAAGATTGGAAAACACTGGTTTAGGGTAATGTAGTTTAGAATGGCAGGGTAAAAGGTTTAACTAAAATTCTACCTCATCAAGTTGTTTACAGTCAGACAGCACTTTCTACTCCAAGGTTCACTCAAGCATACTATGTTTATACTATGTTTTTGAACTTGTACACTCTACGTATAGAATTTGTAAATAAACTGTAAATATTGTATAACTTGAGTGTGGAGGTGTGCTTTCCATAGAACCTGGATCACTATATCAAATCGTGATACATATGGAAACCAACTCAGCGAGACGGAGTATGAAGAAGATCTTCACTGAATTTATCAGGAAAACTCGAAGTGGAAAGATATAGTAAGTTTGAATCAGAAGATGATAGTCAAGATCTTGATTCCTACAACAACATTGAAGCAGATACAAATGACAATATAATTATTGAATTGGAAAATAATGAACTAAACTATGAAAATAGTAATTATTTCAAGTGTTAGTCATAATCCATAAATATAGTCAATTAATGATTTTGATAGTTCTGGAAATGTATAAGTAATTAAGGTATTTCTTTTCCTTTTTTTCTAAATGTTGCAAAGTAAAAAATCCCGCTTTGGAAAAACCCTGGGGATACATACGTTTTAAAAGTAGCTGTCTGGGGTTAAATTGAGAAAATACAGTATATATCATTTACTATTAAAAAAAAATCACAATATATAAATTTTTTAAATAGTTTATTTTTGATAAATTAGCTTATTTTATTTCATTACTAGTATAAGTATACATTTTCATTTACCTATATTTGTACTTTTTAGGACTTCTCCTACGATCTCTATTATTATGAAATTGAGGACAAGCATATCCTTGTCGACATAATCTAGGAGGTCTTTTACATGGTTCAGTTTTATAATTTGCTAATACATAAACAGTATCTGAAAATTAAAAAATCACAAATTATTAGACATCCACAAACCATACTACAATACATTCTACAGACAGTATTGGAAAACAACATGCACAAAATGTACTACAACAGAGCTATAATAACAGATAAAACAGTTTATCACAACAGACCAGACATTGCACTCATTTACAAACACAATAAAATCACATACATTATAGACGTATCCATTCCAAACACTTGCAATATACAAAACACATGCACTCTAAAAATCAGCAAGAACATAGAACTCACCCAGGAAATAAGGCATATGTGAAGGATGGATGGGGTGCTTATTGTATCTTCATTCTCTCCTGTACAGGCGTGATACCACACACACTACACAAAAGCCTGGGAACATTACAATTGAATAGAAATACATACATCACACTACAGAAGGACACTATATTGAATACATGTCATATTTTCAGGAAATTCCTGAATACAGATACACACACTGACACACTTATTTAATTTTTGTCTTGTTTTGGTTGCTATGCCTTGACTCTGGTCCAGCATAGTACACAGCAACTGATGTCGACCGAGTATAACTCACTAAACCCAAAATAATAATAATAATACAAATTACTACTAGTACTAACCTCTGGATGAAACTGTTGTTCTGTGCGTGTATGACAATAAGGGCAATTATCACTATTTTCACAGTTAGCCGGATCTCCCCATTCATCACCTTGTTTAACATTAGGACATGGAGTAGATCTAAAATTCAATATACAGAGTGATATTTAATACTTAGTTTTATACAGACACAATTAAAATCAAACCATCTCATATTGTTTTAATAAATTCATGAAAATATTCATGAATTTATTAAAGCAGAAATTTATAAAGCAGAAACTTAATAATTGATATTACATATTCACACATACACATTATATTTCCTTGATTAAACCCCAGTCTTCAAATAAATTTCAGAAAATAAAGGTGCTGATAAAAGTGATTCCTGATTCCTGGGTTGAAAAGCATGTTAAAGTACTGAATTGTAAAGTGGACAATCTATAGTGTTCATATCAAAATTACCAAATCTACAGTGCAAAATTTTCTCACATGCCAACTGAAATTTTTGGAAGCATATTATTTAGTGTCTTTTAAGAAAACCTTTTCCAATAATCAGAATATTCACATATACACATTTTAGAAACCTTAAAACATGGAAAAATATACAACAAAAATGTAGATTATGTATTTTTTAAGTAAAGTCATAGATTGCATGAAAGAAAAAAGTTGTTGGCATGCTACATTTTATACGTGTGCCACAGTTTACGCTGTCACATCTCATGTACATGGACGACATAAAACTTTATGCATCCATACAAAAGAAACTTCATCAACTCCTAGAAATCACACATTCATACACCAAGGATATACAAATGGAGTTTGCCTAGACAAATGCAAAATGCTTCACATAGAAAAAGGAGTCCTAAAGAAAATAAGATTTTGTGCTTGGAAATGGAGATGTTATTGAATCCATGTCAAAGTTCACAAGTATTTAAAATTCCAACAGGCCAAACTAACAGAACATACACAAATAAAACAAATATTAATTAAAGAATACCAAAGTAAGTTAAATGCCATTCTCAGAACACTGTTAAATGAAAAACTCACAGTAAAAGCAATAAACACATATGTCATCCCAGTATTCACATATTCTTTTGGAGTTATACATTGAACTCACACAGATCTTGAACAACTCCAAAGGAAAACAAGAACACTTACTAAGCATAAACATCATCATCCCAAAACCACCATAGAAAGATTAACCCTTCCATGTAAAGATGGCTGACGTGGCCTGATTGACATAGTTAACCTTCAATACAAACAAATACAGTCATTGCAAGAGTTTTTCTACAAAAAACAAGAAACAGCACAGTTACATAAAGCAGTAACTCTAGCAGACTCAAATAACACACCATTAAACGTACACTCATATCATATGAACACGACACAACATATACAAAGCATAGACACCATTAAGCAATCGTGGGCTCAAAAGGCACTCCACGGCAGGCATTCTTATGACCTGGCCCAGGATTTTGTTGACAAAACTGCATCAANAAAGATTGAAGCGCCACAGCACTGGCGAAAATTTAAATTTGCCGACTGGAATTCTTTCGGATGATTGACTTTCGGAAAATCGACGCTCTACTGTAATTACAATTAAATTAAATAATTTAGAAAATTAACTGCTCTGTGGTATTTAATTTGAGACAAAACACAAGCTTACTTGAATAAAAAAAATATTGAACAACAGAGTTTGCTCTTAAAAATTGTGAAAATTTGTATGGAGGATTTCTCAAATTGTGTTAGAGTGAAATTGTGTTGTAGAAATGCCATGTTGTAAGAGATACCTGTACTATTTTAATAATTTTGTGCTGTACAACTTTTCTCTCAGTATTAAGTGTATAATATCTATTCTTAATATTACTATTATAACCAATACTGAATTTTCATTATAGTAATATCACTAAATATAAAAAACAAAGGAAAAATGCCATAAAGATACAGATATAGTAATTCATTTGACTTATATATAATTAATGCTTTGTTTATTGGACGGATTTTATCTTATAAAGTAAGTGCTCAACTTAGATGATTAATACATTGTTAGAAGTTTCTGCACAAATTGAAAAACCTTGTAAGCTGAATTGTTCTTAGATACTTTGCACTTTTATCATATATTCTTTATGTTCATTTTAAAAGATAATTAAAGCTAAACAGCTTCTGTTTTTGAAAAGAAAACTTTAATAAAAGTTTTTGCCATCTATTATATAATGTATGTTCTAGTGACACTAACTGGATAGATTTATCAATTCTAAATTAAAGTATCATAACTGCAAATAAAAAATTTCTGCTAAAATTGAGAATTTACTGTACAGGCATACCTCTGGTAACGAAGCTTCAATAGAATAAAGTCACAATTTCCAGCCCCATTTAACATAAAAATATTAAAATTTCAAGACCAACATCAGAAGTCATCTGATTGCCTAATGACTACAACTACATCACATACTCTAAGTTATAAGTGTGTCTGTTTTAGCAGTTTCGCATCATTGGAGTAATTTAGTCGTCATTTACACTTCATAAAGTGTGTTTCAGTGCGGTTAATGCAATAAATGATGTATGAAGAAAAGAATAAATTGTACTAAAAGAAGAAAATAACATTCAATAGATTAGAAATGAAAATGGCTCAATCAATAGGTTTGAAAATGTAGACAAAGAGGATGTATGAAATTTATTAAATGCAAAAGATAATGTTTTTTCAGTGGAAGATTTAGAAAAACTTGTTAACAACAAAACAAAATACAAATAAATAAATAAAGATGAAATTTAAAAAATCCATACTGAAAAAGTATTAGCAACTAGATTTAAAAAGATGTTTGAATGACATTGAAAATGATCATGATTTAGGAAGAAGTGTTATTGTTAAGCTATCAGTGTTAATTGCAATAAATTTGTACAGGTAATTGTTAAATGAAAGAGAAAAAAAAAGCATAAACAATCAACTTTAAATTCCTATTTTAAAACATTGTGATTTTATCATCATGTTTGAAATGTAATATTGACTTTTTATTTAACAAAGCTTTCCTTTTTTCAAAAATAAGTCTTTCATTTCCTTTATGTAAGAATGTATTCCTATTAAGACCACAGTACTTTTACCTTGGAGAATGAAGTTTCACCTAATAAAGCAAATTTGTGGAGCACATCCTCTTTGTTAATCAAGGTATGCCTGTATTTAAATATATGGTATAAATCTAAAAGTAGATTGATGATTCATACATTACTGATGAAATTTTTATAGTATCATTTACTATTTTACTAGGTTTACTATTATTAAATTAATACATATTCATGCAATGGTCACCCAGATAGGGACCAAGGGGTTCTGACACTCCCCTCCAAAAAAAACAAAAAAAAACAAAAGAGACACTAGAAAATTTTCCGAAAATCTTTACTTAATTAATATTTCTTTTGTTATTTATACTGTGCCGTGCCTTCTATTTCTATAGTAATAAATTAGCTATGACATAAGCTGGGACTTTTATTGAATTTACATTAAAAAGTCTTTTATCCATTTAACTCTGCTCTCCAAGATTAAATCCCAAGTGCAATTGTCATGTATTAATAATAATACATAACAATGACATATAGATATGCTTCTTAAAAGAAGAAAAGTCAAGAATTTAAAAACTGAGGAACTGGAAATGGAAGCTTTGTGTCCAAACCTTACCCAGCAATACCACTAAAGTATAAGCTCTTGATATGACTACAATACTTTAAGAGCTATAGAGAGAAAGCCAAGAAAACTCATTAATAATATTAGGATGTGCAGCTATTTAACAGAATTTGATCTCCATGTAAGGATAGCTGAAGTATAAACACCTAGTTTAAGTATAAAAAAACATGCTCGTGCATGTGAAAAAACAAATATAATAAACAGTTGTTCACAATTTAATACCAGCTTGAAAATCATCCAATTTACTAAACACTGTATTCATTGCTCTATAGACAAGAGCTCACAACTGAAAAATTATCCAGGTCTACCTTGGTAGCACTGGCACAAATATGGTCACTGCAAAGCAATCAACAGTTGTGAAAAAGGAATAATTATTTTCATTGATTCAATTATTTTATAACAAATATAGGAAGCTCAGAAATCAACCTATTGCATATAAACTACAGAGAAACATTGACAATATCTTGGATGCTTCACATATTAATCACTTATAAAATAAATCTAAAATTCATCTTATGTATAGAAAATATCATGCAAAACTGAAAACAATGCCACAGCTTAAATTTCATAATTTATTAAAACAAATCAAATACATATAACATGAAGAATTTTTCAAGGATACTCTAAATCTATGTTGATTCTATCCAGTCTAAATCCATTGTCATTGTCAAATAGATTAAATGACATACAAATGAAATTTAATTTTTAGCTCATAAAAATGAAATTCCTTTTTGCATAAAAATTTTATACAGAAAAGGGAGATCTTCAGGAAGAGCAGTTTGCTTTAAAAACAGAGACATCATTGAGTCCATTGGTAAGAATAAAAAGTATTTTAGGATTATAACAAGTCAAGCTGAAACACAAATAAAAGAAAATCTAACAAAAGAATATAGTACATTTGAATGCAATTATACAATATACAATTAAAGTAATAAACACAAATGTCATTCTGATACATATTCCTTTGGAGTTATACATTAGACATACACATAATTAGAAGTGTCAGACAAAAACAGAAATAACATCCAAAACTTGCACAGAAAGACTGATTGACTCTCAAACAATATCAATATCAATGGAATAGTTGTAAAAAAAATAATAACTTTGCTGATATATCCTGACAATACTAAGCATTTTAATGTTAATCTTAATGTCATTAGTTAAAAATTCATTAAAATACTCAATATAAATTTACCTTGCCATTTTGGATCTTCATTTAATGCATTTCTTTCTTTATCTAAATTATTAGGGCCTGAGGTACCATTTGGTCCTTCTTCAGCACCTTCCATTGCTTGTAATTCCCTAACATCATATACAGGATTTCGTAAATCATGAATACCATGAGCAAATGCACAGTGTGGACCATTCTTCACACAGTATCCCCTAGCATCTGTATCATACACACAAATACCTGTTTTATAATACCGTAGATGATAACGGCGTTCAGTGTCTCCAGCTGTTCTATGTAAATAGGGGCAACTAAAAACAGAAACAAATTATAAAATTAGGAAAATAATTATAAATAAAATTTAAAAATCATTTATAAAATAAAGATCACTGCTTTATTTGTATTCAAATAAACTTTAAAATAAATCACAAAGATATTAATTATATAATATAGATTTTGTATTTTATTTAAAATATTTAATATCAATGAAAAAAATAAATTTTATGAGTAAATAAAAAACATTTCAATTATCATAACTTTTGTATAACACACGGAAATATTTTATGATTTGCATAGTGAAACATCTAAGTATTTGTTCATAGTTAATTATAAAATAAAATTTTAAGAGGAAAATATTCATTTACTATTTCCTTATACAGAAATTTCAATTCAAGGAAAGCTTATTATAGAATAAAAATATTGGTTAATGTCTACAAAAAAAAAAAAAAGAAAGAAAATGGCTTTAGTGGAAAGTAATGGCAGTCTTGAACAATAACTTCTATGAGAGAAATTATTTAATGACATTCAAATATCAATACATTAGTTAATATATGATTTATAATACAGCAAAATCTGTTTATTATAATCACTATGGGATTACTATATAGATAAAAACAACCAACTGATAATATTATGTAGGGTAAGTAAACCAACTGATAATATTAAGTAGAGTAAGACTATACAATTAATGGAAATTCTGATTTTGTTAACTGTGATATTAAAAGGACATGTTAAAACAATTAAAAATGTAAAATAATCTATAGATTTACTATTATTATTATTATTATTATTAGTGATTCATCCAGTATATAACTGAAGAAGGAAACTATTGCAAGCAAATGATGATTAAAACAATTAACACTTAATGTTTAAAATACTTGTTAAGATTAATCATGATAGCTAATAACTGATAACAATTATGCATTATCAATCATTTTCTGAAATAATAGTACAGTTTAAAAACGTATATTAACCTTTGATGATGATAACTAACTAAAACTCTGATTACAATAAGTGAAATTTTTAAGTATATTTTCAGTTACATGTTTTGGACATGTTAATTGTGAACATTCAACAACTGATAACAATATCCAAAATTACAATAAGCAGATTTTACTGTATATTAAATTCTTGAGTTTTAATATCATTTTTAAAATCTTTTACAAAGTTTATTCAAAATTGAACAATTTAATTTTATACAATGCACTGCATCTAATCTGAACCAATTTTGTTCATTTTTCCAGTAAATGTTCAAACCAAAAACAAAAATAAATCCTATTTTACTTTTAAAATTTATGAACAAATTTTATCAATTTGTTTATATTGTTTTATATTATTATCACTATTATTTTACATAATTAAAATTTGTTATTTATGTTAATTTGTATACCATATACACCACCTTTCAAATTAAAGGAATTTATAAATAAATGTATACAATAGTCTTTTATTTTAACACAAACCATTCATGGTACAGAAATGTACATGAGAGGCATACAAACAAAAGAAAGACTTATTAGATCAAATAGTCCACAAACAAATTTAATAATTATGAAAGTGTTTACATGCTGAAAGATAAAGTTTCTTTTCTGCTGAAACTAAAAGTGTTTTGAAAGTTAGTAATGTGTATGGTCACCTCTAAATGCAATGCAGGTCTAGCAGTGGTGCCTCATGTTGCATCAGGGTGTCCAGGAGAGTAATTAATATAATTTCCATTCCTGTTTTAGGGTATAATGCACAGTTCCTGGATGTTATAAGGTGGTGGAGAGAGAAATGAAATAAGACATACTTGGGTATTCCAATCATGCTGTATTAGATTCAAGTCCAGTGTACAAGTAGGCCACTCCAGATGGGTAACTTGCATTCTCTTCCAGGTACTGGATGATAAGTCTGGCTCCATGGGGTAAAGCATTATTGTCTTATAAAAATGAAACTTTCACCTACTGCATAGCATATGATTAACAATGAAACCTGAGGATCTATTCCCTGTAATTCTGAGCTGCCAGTGAACCTGCTGAAACCTCAGAGGTCAGTATGACTGTCAAGGATATTTCTGCCCATTGTCTATACCCTAACACTGCTCCCTCTCCAAGAGTCAATCCCAATCATGTTTGGAAGATGGTATATCTATCAGGTTCTCTCGAAATCAGCATAGATCTGCCATTTCTCAGGGCAAATTTAGACTTGTCTATAAAGAATACAGTGCACTGTTGATCTTTAATTCAGTTAAAATGTTCTCTTGCCCAGTCTAATTGCTCTCTCCTGTGATAAGGAGTAAGGGGTATGCAATGTTCAGGTCAGTGAGCTGAAAGGAACCTTTTGTGAAGCCTTCTGCATATAGTAGAAGTGATGCAATAGTCCTTATAGCTGCAGAAAACTCAGATTGCAGTTGAGAGATTCGTTTGACATTGTCATAAAGTTGTTAGGTGTAAATACTGGTCTTTATTAACTGTAGTCTAGAGATGACTTCTTAAAGGTTGTATGGCAACATTATTGGTTTCTAATATGCTATGCCAATGCCTATGATCTACTGATAGATTAACATTGAGTCATTTGCCATTTGTGTTTGTGACTGTCCTGCTACAAGTATGTTGATTGCTCTGCATCTTAAACTGTCAGGTAAATATTGATCTAACATTTGAAACTCCAAATGAGTTTCAAATGCCAAACTCCATTTGCCATTTATGTTTGTGACTGTCCTGCTACAAGTATGTTGATTGCGCTGCATCTTAAACTGTCAGGTAAATATTGATCTAACATTTGAAACTCCAAATGTATGTGAAAATATCACTTTTTTGCTTTATGAGTAGAAGTACCTATTAAAAAGTATACCTATACAAGTTTGCAACTTGGCCTGCCAAATCTGATTGTTTTTTTATGATCTGGCCCTTTCCTAAAAAAGTTTGTCAACCTGAGTTAGACCGATAACAATTTTTTTTGTGTTATGCTCCCAATACAGTCAGTCAGGAGAAGTGTCATTTCTGGACTAGGAAGCAAGTCCGTGGGAAAATGGCATCACTTCCTGTTCTTGTGAAAAATAATTTTAGCAGAATTTTTTTGTAAATTAAGCAAAAATTTTTCTATTTAGTCTGGTTTCTCACAAGATAGATAGTTAATTGCATATGTGTGGAAGAACCATTTGTATACAAAATTTGCATTCAGAAATGATAGATATTATGGTAGAAATGCACTTAATAGTAGAACAAACCACTTTATTGGTAATCCATGAAAAATTACGAAAAACCACTAATTTGCAAGGCATTATATACTTCACAAGTCTCCAAAAGCTAGATTGTATACAAATTAATATAAAACACTACACACACTCTTCCAGCAAAATAATATATCTTGAAATCATAAAAACGAATGTTTTTGGCTTCTTTAAAGGGACTTGCATCAGGCATCAATTGTTGCAGAACATTAGCAGAAATCCTAAATTTAGAATGTTTTTACAAGTATGTTCTTTTGATATCATTATACTTGAATGCTTAACAAGTATTTGCTTAAATTTAATGATAAAACTGGAATACATATTTTGCTGAAAGAGTATGATGTTTCATATTAATTTAATACACACTTCCTTGCAAATTAAAGAGAATACCACAAATATATATACCAATATATATTTGTGGTACAGTAGAACCTCGAAAACTCGACCTAATGTGGACCGAAGGGTGGCCGAGTTTGTGAAAATGCCGAGTTATCGGGAATGGGGTTAAAAAAAATAAGTACGAGTATTTCCTCAGAAAATACTGTACTGTACTTGTACAGTATTTACTTGTACAGAATATAACAGAGAATAAACTGCCCAAATACCCTTAAACAAAGGAAAAGTACGTCCTTTATGAAGGCATAGAGCCTTTACTACATGAAAATGAAAATTAATGAATACACTGTGTACAGTAATTTACCTGATAAGACAGACCTCAGAAAAATACTTTATGAGAGCTTTTATACTTTTATAAAGCTGTCTATAATGAAAATTAATTAACTAAGGATTTTTTCGCCCTGCCAAGGTGTGGACCAGTTATCCGGAGTGCTAAGTTATCGAGGGACGAGTTTTCGAGGTTCTACTGTATTCTCAAAATACAATATAGTTTTCAAATGTATGTGGTCTTATTTGACTTCTTTTTCTTCATGTCATCCAGCTAATCTGAACAACCCTCATGCAATAATTAGTTTGGATTAGCAAGAATGCACTTCACCATTTTCATATTCTGATTCTGTTCTGTCAAGCTTTGACTTAACTTTGGATGTATTGCTGTGCTACATAAATTGCACTTATCTCAGATCATTTATTTTATTTAACAATTAGACTCACTTCAATAATAATTATTTCACATTATTATTTATTACAACATATTTATACATATCAAATCACATTTGAAATTTATAACATTATGCTGATTTTTGTACAATGTTATGAATGTCAGAGAAAAAAATTTAACCAAATGTAAATAAATGGCAGGAATAATTTAACTTGAATCTCTCTTAAGATAGGGCAAAAATAGTATGTGTGATATGCATAGCAATATCACTCTAACTTCTGCTTTACAAAATAACATCCAAATCTTAATAGTAAGAAAGAGTTATTTTTTTCAATGAACGTAAGTTGTGAAGAACTTTTTCTTTGGACTCCAATTTGTCTGGATATACATGTAAACAAATTCTGACCTAAACAAGACTGTACTTTTCTCATTAATTAAGACACACATCAATCTCAGAGTGCATATATGTAACCATCCTGCCAACTTTGTACAGAATAAATTAAGACATTGGTCCAAAGATGAAGAGCATATGCTGGATCATATAGAAGCAGGTTTGATCAAAGCAATAATCAGATGAATAAATGAGCCTAATCTGCTTTCTTATTGGATTGTCAAGAGCTAAGTTCTCAAGTTGTCAAAAGCCATTGACACCTGCCTACTGTCATTTGGAAGACTAGTATCTACAATAGCTTCATATTAAGAAGCCTGAACATTTAACTATTATAAGCAGGGACTCCCGATACGGTATCAATGCTTTCCTTCGA